TATGGATTACTGTGCATTGTCTCTCTCTCTCTCTCTCTCTCTCTGTCTCAAAGTAAATAAATAAACATCTGAAAATAAGAATTGTTACAAAATGGTTTATTGACAGATATTGCAAAATAACTGTTGATTGGAAATCACATTTCTGTAGATTGGGCCAATATACTGCTCCTTAGATGCAAAACTCAATAAAAGTTTAGTGTTACATTTCTGAAAAAGCAAGCCAATATTCTAAGAATAAACTAGTCATAGGAAACTATTGTCTTTGTAAGGACCAGAAAATGTGTCAAGTTCCTCAGTCTGGGAAAATATTAAATAAATCTCTTAAACACTAAGAAGTAAAATAAAGTTGTAAAGACTTAAGAGATACATGTTTTTTATGTCTTTTTTAAAAAGAGATTACTATTTGTAATTTTGTATTTTTTAATGTTTATTTATTTTTGAGAAAGAGAGAGAGGGAGAGAGTACCCATGCAGGAGCTGGGGAGGGGCAGAGAGAGAGGGAGACAGAGGATCTGAAGCAGGCTCTGTGCTGACAGCAGAAACCCAGATGTGAGGCTCGAACTCACAAACTATGACCTGAGCTGAAGTCAGACCTTTAACCAACTGAGCCACACAGGTGCCCCCATGCTTTTTACTTCTTAATCACACTGTTGAAATCTTAAAATTAATAATTCATATCAAGCATTGAATATCAGCCTTTATATGTCCCAGAGTTTTAAAAACGCTTGAAGGTGTCACATTCTAAAATCCTCCTGTGCTCACTAAAAACTGGTCTACCGAGCCACACACCTTGCCTTGTAGCAACAAATACAGAAGGAAGTGGGAAGGGGAGGTCCTTCCTGCATTGTGTAGCTCAGCTCTCTTCTGTTTTAGGATGTTGTTTCCCTTTTCACACATAGGAGATACATATGCAGGTCAAAATTTAAGGTACCTGTGGGGCGCCTGTGTGGCTTAGTTGGTTAAGTGTCCGACTTTCGCTCAGGTCATGATCTCTCGGTTCGTGGGTTCTAGCCCCGTGTCGGGCTCTGTGCTGACTGCCAGCTCAGAGCCTGGAGCCTGTTTCAGAGTCTGTGTCTCCCTCTCTCTCTGACCCTCCCCTGCTCACGCTGTCTCTCTCTCTCTCCTAGAAATAATAATAATAATAAAAAAATTAAGGTACCTGTAATGTGGAATTCTGTGCTATTGAGGACCACAATTAGACCTATTGAAGGGAGTTAAGAGGCAAGGAGAGCAAGGATGGTGTTATGACTTTGTGCTGTCCTGCTGGTGGACTGAGATGTGAGATCCATTTCTCCTATAGCTCTAACGAGTCATTCGCCATGGGATCAGAAGCAGCTATGTGCGTGAAGAAATAGAGACAAACTCAATTTCCACGGAAAATCTCTCCGTCATGCTTACTGGGGTTTGTGAGTATCTTAGGTCTCTCTGAGTCTGCCATGATCCCCTTAATTTAGGCAAATACCTTCATGGTATCCTATAACAAGTGTACCGGTACCTGGGTTTCTGCCTCTTTCTTGCTTCTACCTTTCATTCTTAATACCGTTATAACCTTTAATCAGCTACATTTTATGCATTTATCCTCATTTTAATGTTGCCATTACTTAGTCTGTAAGAAATGTACAAAATAGTATCAAATTGAATTATTCCTGCATCTCACAGATACTATAGAATAAACAGGTCTCTGGCATTATTTTTACCTCACGGTTTATACACAGCCACACTGCATGCACCTTATGAGCTTGATCTTTCACCACCAAGTCTTGATATGTTTCAGTCCCTTGACCTTGACTTTAAAAATTAAACAAAAATATGGGGCTTCTGGATGGCTCATTTGGTTAAGTGTCCAATTCTTGGTTTTGGCTCAGGTCATGATCTCACGCCTTTGTGAGTCGAGCCCCACATCGGGCTCTATGCTGGCAGTGCAGAGCCTGCTTGGGATTCTCTCTCTCCCTCTCTATCTGCCCTTCCCCCACCCTTGCTGTCTCTCTCAAAACTAATAAATGAACTTAAAAACAATTTCGTAAATAATAAAGTAAATAAAAAATTAAAATTAAACAAAAATATATTTGGCATAAGCATACTGCCTCTCTTAGATGATGATGTCTTTGGAATAGGTTTCTGTAATGTTCAAGGGAGAGTAGCCAGCTGTCTGCTAGTCTTACAAACAGAGGCTATGGATAAAATGTACAGCATGAGGGGTTTACCACTTCCTATGGTAAAAGCCATTGATGTAGAATGGTGTGACCCTCTACCTCTAACTGTACAGTTCAGCTTTCTCTGCACTTGTTTAAAATGAAAGGACATATAAGTTTTTCTTGACCGTGCCTATGGACATAGGGATGGACTATTTTCCCTGCCATGGTCATCTCCTACACTCCGCCACCCCATGATTTCACTTCCGCAGTGTGTAAAGACAAACTCCTCATTTGTCAGGTCAAAAGCCATAGAGGTTGAACCAGGGGGATATGACCAGGAGAACATGCCTCAGCGGGAGTGTAGCGTTGCGATGAGGCGTATTCTACAAGGAAAATAACCACAGTGGAACACACTGAACTTTCTTTGCTTTTGAATCTTTTTTAGAACACAGTCGTATTCTCTCTGCAAACCTCCCTTGCTCTGTTCTTTTTAAAAATTTATTTATTTAAATTCAAGTTAGTTCGCGTACAGTGTAGTATTGGTTTCAGAAATAGAACCCAGTGATTTCCCTGGTCTGTTTTATTTTGAGCTCGTAATAAAAAAATCAAATACATATCTAACAGAAAAAAAATTAAGAGTATTATGAATACAAGTTATATCATTCTGACAGTTCCCATGATTGCTCCCACCTCTAAATACATCTTTTTAAAAATTTATTTTAGTAGGGACCTGGGTGGGCTAGTTGGTTTAGCATCTGAGTCTTGATTTTGGCTCAGATCATGATATGGCTTCATGGGATTGGGCCCTGTATGAGGTTCTGTGCTGACAGCACGGGGCCTGCTTGAGATTCTCTCTCTCTCTCTCTCTCTCTCTCTCTCTCTCTCTCCCCCCTTGGCCCCTCCCCTGCTCACACACACACACTCTCTCTCACTTTCAAAATAAATAAACTTAAAAAATCAGTTTAGTAAAAAGCTACCTTCATCTGTACAAAATAACTTTTCCTTTTATCATGTATATAGCAGTAAGGAAATTATAGTTATATTTATATACCAGACCAGGTTACAGATATTTTAAAACTAGTGGTTCAATATTCAAAGTATATGAAGTGCTGGCAAGCATTGATCGAGATACAGAAACATTCTGTCAACTGCCTATCTCACTGAAAGCCAAGTACACTATAGCATGATACATTACCAAAGTCCTCAAAATACTGAATCTGAGACATATATAATTTACATAAAGCGTCTTGAAGTTTTACATGTGGATGCTTGCATTTGCAGCTTTCCAATTCACACTCACATAAAACTCATTTTCTTAGAGCTTCCAAATAATGACAGGTTTCATTTATTATATCTGATGTTTTAAAATTTCACCATAGGGGCAAGTATAGGAAAACAATTCATTGTCTACTATTTTTCTTACATTGAAAATAAGCAGATAGCAATGGATTACATTTTTTCATCAATGTATCTTTAGCCCCTTGAGGTTTCTTTTTAATACTTTCCAGAAGTAAATAAGAAGTATTCCACTTAAAAGAGGTGCTAGACAATAAGTTGGCTTTATAACAATGACAAGAGAACAAGCCCTTACCTTAAAAAAAAGAAGAAAGTAGACTCACTTAATTTTTTTAACTTAAGTATGTAGAAACAGAGAACATAGAAGAAATGAAAATAATGTATTAGAGTCTCTATAGCATAATACATATTGGGCAGAGATGCAGAATGAAATTCATCTATATATTTTTCAACTGCTCTGCATTTAATCTTTTTTGTTTTAGTATTCCATTCTCACAATAACTTTCTTCTAGTTTCTTTAATGTTAATTTTTCACAGAAGGAGAAGACTAGAGACCAGTTAAGATTAAAAGAATCAATCAAAGAGAGGTTATCATTCAAGGGAATTAGTTTTTTTATTCTATCAGTGGTTTAGGGCATAATAGAAAATGAAGTTTAAGCATATTAAAATAAGTTTCAAGGCAATAGAAATTGTCACATGGCAGACAGAGTAATAAAATATTTGTTACTACTCCATTATCTAGCAAAGTATTCTCACTCTTTTATGTTCTATGTCTTCCCTGTTCATGACATGAACAGACAGCCAGGCAGTGGCAGAAGTTGGCTGGGGGAGACTGTGAAATACAGATGAACTAATGTTGGCTGACTAGTAGGTGCATTGTGCTAAGCCCTTTTGAATGCATTGGCTCATTCTGTGTTCTCTACAGCTGTACAGAATCAGAGTTATTACTTTATTTTATGGATAAAGAAAGAAAATCTCAACCTAGTTAAGTAACCTAAATTACTTAGAAGTTGTATAGGACTGAGATTTGAACTGAGAAATGCCTGAAAAACAAACAAACAAACATGCTCTTGCCTTTACAATATCTTCTTCCAGGTATTCAAGGGGAGGTACTAGAAGAAAGAGAAAAACATAGGTATGTGAAGGTGTGGGGGACATTGTCTTTTGAAGAAAAGTAGAAAAACATAGGTTTTATGGTTGAGTTCCAATATAGTAAAGTGCTAATGAATACTAATTTTAAAATTCTTTGCTCTTATTTTAATAAGAACTCAAAATATGTTCTTAAGTATTTGTTATAGAATTAAAAAGCCTGAAGGAAGAAAAAAGTGCATTGTGAACAGAAATTAATAAAAAGCAGGTCTCTTATTGATTCTTCACTCTAGGAATCTCATTAACTATCAGATGGAATTTGATGACTGCCAACGAATAAACAACACTTCCCCCATTCAAGGCTGTTAAACTGCCCAAGCCTCCAAATACAGATTAGTCTGAAATGCACTGATTGTTCTTGCTGGACGTGGTTAAAAAATCAGCTATAGATACAAGAACTCTTTTTCTCTCTTTCCTTCAGGCTGCTAAAGGATGCACAGAATGAAACTTATTTTAAAAGCTGGTATCAGAAGCTATTGGCGGCTCTCCAGTTCTGTTCAGGAAAAGCCTTGAGTGATGAGTTTTCCAAAGAGAAAAAACTTCTTAAAATTCTAGGAGACATTGGGGAAAAAGTCAAGTCTGCCAGTGACCCTCAAAGACAGGTTTGTTGAGAAATTAATCTTCATGTAGTGTTTTCTTTAATCTTTTGTTCAATTAAGTTTTAATTTCATAGCTTAGAAAGTAAATTTCTTGTCTATACTTAGGTCTAAGACACCCAAATCAATTACTTTAATCAAGACTTTTTTTTTTCAATTTACAATCTAAAGTTAATGATAATGTCTACCATGAGGGCATGGTATTTTGATCTAAGTAGCCATGCAGCATACAGAAAGTACCTGACAAGAAGAAACCCACTTAAAGGCAGTTTGACTAAAAACTGATGAAGTAATTTCCTCAAAATGGCAGCACAACACAGGCCAGCAGAAGTACATATGAAAACTTTATAGGGCACCCTTGCCCAAGGTACAAAATCGAGATCTAGATTTTTCTAACACTGCACTAATCAAAATCATATTTTAATGAATTATTTGTACAACAAATAAAATTAATTAAATGAAACAGGGGCACCTGGGTGGCTCAGTCGGTTAAGCATCCAACTTGATTTCAGCTCAGATCATGATCTCATGGTTCATAAAATTGAGCCCCATGTAGGGCTCCGTGCTAGAAGCACAGAGCCTGCTTCAGATTCTCTCTCTCCTTCTCTCTTTCTGCCCCTCTCTTGTTTGCACGTGCTCTCTCTCTCTCTCTCTCTCACTCTTACTCTCAGTTGGTCTCTCTGTGTCTCTGCCTGTCTAAAATAAATAAATAAATAAATAAATTTAATTAAATGAAACAAATCAATAGCGGTGTGAATAGTAACATTTTTATACAGGATACATGAATAATGTCAAAATATTGTGCCTTTTTCATCACTGATTATATTAATGGACCTGGCTATTCTTTTTCTTGATCTGATTGAAGAATATTTGTTCTTTTAATTATCTGCATCACTAGTTTCCTCCACTGATAGAGATCATTAAGTAGGTTCTCTGTGTTCAACATTCTAGATGCAAGAAGAGAGTGGACATCCATTCTTTGCATTAATAACATCATTCAATCACAATTAAGTACTTACGACAGAATGAGAGTTAAGGATAGAAAGATTGCTAAAGCATGAATTTTGTCCTTAAGGGAACACATAGTTTCTCTAGATCCACTGTGTAAAATAAAAAAGTCATTTCAACAAAATAATATGAAACTGTTAATAGGTAAAGTGCCCCAGAATTTTTTTACAGCCCAGTATTTTTCTTGCTGGAAGTCACTCATTTGATTGAAACACCAGAAGCTATGGTGCTTCACCTATATAGGAGAAAATGGAAAATAAAAATCATAAGCACAGAATTTATTCTTAAATGGAAAATATATAAACTCTGGATTGACAGAAAAACCTTAAGATATGTAACATGATGAGCAATGCAAAAAAACAAAACAAAACAAAACTAGAATTTTTCCATACTAGTGTAGACTCATTAATTATTTTCTGGTGATAGCAAAAAGTTGAAAGCAAGCTAAATAAACTGGTTTACAATTTATAAAACCTGTGTATGGGCTGAGTCTTTATTTCTTATTTTAAAATTCCTCACATACTTGAGATGCATACTACAGTTAAATACGTCTGATACCTTTTTGACCATTTGCATTAAGTTCCAAAGTGACAGTAACATTCTCTCAAATAAATTTATTTCTCTCACCTTGACTGGCTGTGTTTGTGGTAACACTTCTTCACATGAAAATAAGAAAATAAAAAGATGGAAGAAGCATTTACAAGTTTGCACAATTCAACTTACTGTTACCTTTTTTTTTCTACTTCTTTTTAAAAGGTACTAATTAGTATTGTATGGAAGTGTTGAATCACTGTACTGTACACCTGAAATTAATATTACACTGTATATTAACTTACTGGAATTTAAGTTTTTTAAAAAGGGGTTTTTAGTTTATTTTTATTTATTTTGAGAGAGAGAGAGCTAGAGAGCAAGTGGGGAAGGGGCAGAGAGAAAGGGAAAGAGAGAATCCCAAGCATGCTCCATGCTATCAGCACAGAACCCTGTGTGGGGCTCAATCTTATAAACTGTGAGACTATATGTGAACAGAAATTAAGAGTCTGATGCTTAACCAACTGAGGTACTCAAATGACCCTTGAATTATTTTTTAAGTTATTCCTGTTTTTCCCCTCTTTTTGTTAAGAGATACACAATTTTAAAGGTGTTGTTTGTGATTTCAGACCTTCCACAGGTACAGAAGACTATGGAAGGGACTGAGTCAAGTATCAGAAATATTCTCATTGGCATTTAGTAAACTATTTGTTCAAATATATTACTATTTCTGACAATTATCAGTTGTCAGCCATATCATTTTTTGCCATTATTGCTCTTTATATATGTGAATTTGTTTCCTAAAATGTACTATTACTGAGGCACCTGGGTGGCTCAGTCAGTTGAGTGTCTGACTCTTGATTTCAGCTCAGGTCATGATCCCTGGGTCATGGGATCGAGCCCCATGTTTTGTCAGGTTCCTTGCTATGTGTAAAGTCTGCTTGACATTCTCTCTTTCTCTCTCTCTCTCTGTCTGCCCCTTTCCCCGACACTCTCTCTCTAAAAACTAAAAACCAAAAACTAAATAAATAAAATGTACTGTTACTATTAAGTACAAATCTTGAGAGTTACAAACAAAGATTCAGGAAATTATCAGAAATGGATCATGTTAATTATTATTTAATGCAAATATTGTAAGTTGGTGAGCCACAGGTCAAATCCATCCCATTATGTGATTTGTTTGAACACAATAGTTCTCTGTTTTGGTTTTGTTTGTAATTGAATTTAAAATCCTGTAGAAAGGGCGTGAGCTCTAGTTCCCCATTTTCCCCAACATCCCCTATTGTCTTTACCCACTACCTCCTTGTATGTGGCTACATCACTGATTTGACCCCAAAGCATCCAAGTGTGCAGTCCCAGAATTAAAGAGTCTATTTAATCGATAGAGGAAAAATTTAACTTGAAAGAAAAGTCAAGTTCTTTACAGTTTCTAAAATATTTTTTCTAATGATTTTTCACAGGAGGTACTGAAGAAAGAGATTTTCAGACTAGAAGAATTCTTTCAGTGCATAAATACCTGTCACCTTCCTCTGAACCCTGCCCTGTGTATAAGGGGTATTGATCATGGTGTAAGTCAGTTTATTCGGTAGATAAGCTGAGTGGTTTTGTTTTGCATTATTTAATTCACTGTATGCTTCTTTGAATGGCAAAAACAATTTGTAAATTGTCATTGCAAGTGTCTTAAGAAAAAAGTAATTGAATCCCATCCATGCTATGTGCAGCAGTTGATGCACTGTGTAAGGTTGAGAATACTTTGGCCCCATCACAAGATATGTTGGTTTAGAAATAAACTATCAGTTTAGTAAAAATAAATAAATAAAGATACTTCTCAGTAAATTGATTTCTTAATCCATTCAAAATGATTGATTTGGTGACCTTATACAGAACGGTTTAATTTCATGCTTATTTAGATCATGTGCATACCCATGCGTAGGACACTAAGGATATTACTAGCTACAACATCTCAGTTTTTATTTAATTTAAAATTCACTGAAACTCATGTGTCAGTGTGCCATATAATATATTTTGTGATTTTACTTATGCCTGGAGTGTCCTTCCTGGCATCAGACACAAATTCTTTTTCTTCTTAAGCCTCTGCCAGTCACACTTCTCTAACTTAGAAGCATTCCTTCTTCTTTTTTCTCCATGAACTTTATTCGCCTCCTCCTCAAAAGTCCAAGAGTAGAAAACACTACTAGAGAAAGGATTGGTAAATAAGACTTAGAAGAAGAGAGGTTAAACTATCAGGCATGCACAATAAACGTTACTTGACTAAAGTCATATGACAATCAAGGAAACAAATCCAATACTTGGAAGAAAAATTAGGCCATTATTAGTATGAATATAAAAAGTTCTGCTAAAAAGTTAGTACTATTGTCTTTACAACTTTGTTGCTTCACAGACACCTTAGAAACGTCCCTAATATGCTGCACAAGCATATTTTGAAAAATAACAAAATAAGGCATCAAATTTCATAAACTGAGATAGGTCCATCTGGGCTAAATTCCAAATCATTGCTAATTTTTAAAACTTGTGTAACTTTTTAGTCATTAGCAATATCCACTGATTAATGCTGAAAATAAAGAGAAATGCAGCATTGCAAAGATGAACTATCTGAAAGTAGAAAGAACAATATGGATCATTGAGTCCAGATGTTGGTTTCTTTTTGTTTCTGCTTTCTTGGTTGGTTGTTTAAGGAGTAAAATTATTTTTTCAGTTACAATTCCATATAACTCTTGGTTTTTTGAATGTCTTGGAGATGTGGGATGTTGGCTCTAACAGTGGCCCATGGGAGATGATCAGGCTGAGGGTTACCAGCTCAGGAGTCACCACCATACCTAGCAGCTGGGACCACACTCCTTTCCTTTACATACCTGCAGACAGTGATACTTTTCCTGAGTCAGGAAAGTGCACCAAGTAGCTGCCTCTTTGCTCCATTTTTTCTGGTCAGCTGTGCCTACCACAAGGCTGGGCACCTGTGCTCAGAGCAATAAACAGAGTGGATGTGACCAAATGACACTCTCTCCTGGGGAACATTTTAGTCTATTCTGTAGTCCTGCCAAACAAAGAGGCCTGAAGGAACATACATTGCATCTGAAGGTGTGGTGAATGTGGCAAGGTTTCAATTAGAGCCTGTATCAAAGGATCCATAATGGAAAGAGCCTCTAAGAATGTAATAAGTATGATAGGACCTTTAGAGAGACCTCTCAGACAATGGTTCACTTGAGAATCTACTAAGGAGGGAACCTTTATGAATGCATGCGAAGACCTGTCATCGCTCCTCCCATCTCATTCAAGATCAGAGATTCCGTAATTAAGAAAAACCTTATAAATGTATAAATGTGCTTACTGTATGAAAACCTTCACTCAGAGTTCCCTACTCCTTGACTCCCTACTCAGTGGGGAGAAGACATAAATTTTACGAATGTAGGAGGCTTTCATTCAGAGTAAAATCCTTTTCCAACACCAAGTACTTCATACAAGTGGGAAACATTACAGCTGAAGTTAGTGTGGGAAAGCTCACTCAAGAAACCATCTTGACCACCAGAGAATCCATACTGGGAAGAATCTCTGTGAGTATAATGATCATAGGGAGGCTTTCAGTCAGAGTAAATGTCTTATTTGACATCAGAGCCTCTACCCTGGGGAATAAGCACAGAAAAACAGGCAGTATGGAAAAGGCTCCAGTTAGAACTCTCAACTTGTTGGCTATGAGCAAATTCATACCAGAGAAAAACATTAGGAATACAGCATGGCAAAACATTCAGAGTAAATGTCTTATTTTTTTAATGTCTATTTACTTTTGAGAGAGACAGAGAGACAGACAGTGAGTGGGGAAGGAGCAGAGAGAGAGGGAAACACAGAATCCAAAGGAGGCTTCAGGCTCTGAACTGTCATCACAGAGCCCTACAGGGATCTTGAACTCATGAACTGTGAGATCATGACCTGAGCCGAAGTCAGATGCTTAACTGACTGAGCCACCAAGGAGCCCCATAAATGTCTTATTTTATGTCACTTGACTTCACACAAACAGAAACCCCTGTAAATATGGAAAGTATGCAACCAAGACTCACATCTTGTTGTGTAACAGAGAATTCACACTGGTGAAAAATCCTATAAATGTACTAAGTATGGAAAAGCCATTGGTTACAGCACCAATTTTATGATGTCAGAGAGTCCATCTGGGGAGAAACGCTATAAATGCAATCACTGTGGGAAAGCCATTAGGGACAGTTCACAACTTATCAAGCATCAGAGAGTTCACACTGGAGAGAAGTCCTATGAATGTAGTGAGTACGGGAAAGCCTACAGTCAGCATTCTATTTTAATCACCATCAGTGAACTACATTGGGGACAAACACTTGGGCCTAGCTCAGTCCATTCTTTGAAGCGTGGCTGTCCAAGATGGAAGGCAAAGGTCTCAGCTTTGAGTTAAGCCTTCTTTCAAAGAACTTTTACCCTTGTCTTTCCTTGGAAGCACTGATGACAGTGGACCATTTTCTCTTTTCCTTTGGGTCACTAGGGAATGGACCATTTGGGAGAGTAGTTATAACTTAATGCAATCCCTTCTCCACTCCTGGGAAAGTGAGGACCACACACTTCGTTTACTAATAAGTTTTTTTTCCTTTTTAAAAAAAACTGTTTTAAATCTATGTTATTAGTGTGTGCTTCTCAAGAACAGAGGTCATATCCATTATCTATTTTAGCTTTTCTTATTTTCTTTTCTCTATTCCAGTTCTTTTATCTCCTCATTTGCATAAAATTATTTTCCAAGACTCTAATTCATTCCTTCCTGTCGCTTGGTTGTGGCTCTCACAATCCACTTTTTTTAAAAAAATACTTTCCCTACACAGAAAGCCTTAAAACAAAATAAAACAAAACAAAAAAACCTGTTTGCTAATCTCTGCCTTTCACAATCTTCAAATCCAGCTTATCTCTGAAAGATTTCTCTTCTTTAAGTGCTTCAACTGTGATCCATGGCTTTGTAAGTTATTTTCAGCTTAATGCATATATGTATATGTTCATAGCAACTTTCTGCAGGCTCTTGGAGAGGAGATATGGTGTCTCTTTCTATTATCATATCGATAAGAGTTTGTGCATACTAGCTGTCAAATATCAAATATTTTTGTCATGACTCAAAATATATTCTGCAAGTGAAAACCAAAATATTCAGCAATTAAAGCAAAATAGCTCTGAGTGATGTAATTCGGAAAAAAGATTAAGCCTTGCCTTCAGCCTCCATTTACCCCTTTTCTCTTCTCTGGACTTGGATGCCTCAAGAGATTCTCAGGAGCTGGATGAGCACAGTCTGAAAACCACTCATCTGGATCATTTTTGGCCAAATACAGGATTTCCTAATTCAGTACCATGACAGAAGGTCATGTATTCCTTGACTGACTCGTTCTCAAAGCAAGAATTCATTACTTCATAAGGAGCCTCACCTATTTACTAGAAACCTCAAATTGATTCAGTAAGCAAGGGTTTCTACTTGCTTAGGGATTAGGTTAGATTTCTATTGATAGGTTAAGTTAAAAAATATATCCTTTCCTCTCTGCTTCTCCCGATTTCTCAAAAATAATGATATTCAAGCTGATCTTTCAACATGTATTGATGTCATATTTTACCAAGTTGATAAATTGAAACCATCAAGTTCTTTTCCTTTATTTAGTATTGAGTTAACTCTTCACTGTCAACGCAAAGTCTGTAATAGCTAAAGACATACAGCCTTTTAACACTCAAACAACTGTAAGAACATAAAGGAAAATAAGCAACTAGGAAAGTATAATGGAAAGTAGTCAATATCATAAGTGGAAAGTGGAAATGCAAAGTGTAATTGAAAGAAATGAAAAGATGAAATGAACTTGAAATGAAATGATGTATGTTGTACTGTTATTTGTAAAGGTAAGAAAAAATTAACAAAAAGAGAAGAGGAATGTATTATTTTTTTCAATAACTAATTAGTGTCAGGCACTGTAGAAGGTCTTTTATATCCATTAGTCCATATGTCTATGACAAGTATGTTTGACATAGGGGTTATTATCCCATTTTTCATTGGGATACAAACATTTAAGTAACTTGCCCGTGGTCTTGCAGCTAATTAGTTACAGAGTTCAAGTTTAAACTCGGATCTTTCTTTTTAAAAAAAAATTTTTAATGTTTATGTATTTTTGAGAAAAAGAAAAAGAGACAGAGCATGAGTGGCTGAGACAAAGAGAAAGGGAGACACAGAATCCAAAGCAATTCCAGGCTCTGAGCTTTCAGTGCAGAGCCTGACGTGGGACCCGAACTCACAAACAGTGAGATGATGACCTGAGCTGAAGTTGGACACTTAACCAACTGAAAACCCAGTCATCCCAAGTTTTTCTTTATTTTATTTTATTGTTATTTTATTTCATTTTATTTATTTTATTTTATTTTATTTTATTTTAGTCACATTAGCTAACATACAATGTAGTCTTGGCTTCAGGAGTAAATTCCCATGATTCATCACTTATATAAAACACACAGTTCTCCCAACAAGTATTCTCCTCAATGCCCATCACCCACATTGTTGCAAGTGACAAAATTTTATTCTTTTTTATTGCTGACGAGTATTCCACTGTGTGTGTACCACATTTTCTTCATCTATTCATCAGTTGGTGGACATTTGGGTTCTTTTCATAATTTGGCTGTTGTTGACAACACTGCTATAAACATTGGGGTAAATGTGCTCCTATGAATCAGCACTCCTGGATCCTTCTAAATTCATAGTAGTGCTATTGCTGGGTCGTAGGGTTATTCTATTTTTAATTTTTTGAGGAAGCTCCATACTGTTTTTCAGAGTTACTGCACCAAGTCTTTCGTAACTCTATATCCGTATTTCCTTAAGATATGCTGCAGGAAAGAAATAATTAAATGGACATAGATTTTTGAATAGCATATTTATCTTTTAGATATTAACCAACTAGCATAAACACAATATCTGTATACTATTTAGTTTATTTAATCCCCCTATATCACCACTGTTCAGTGAGAAAAGAATGCATTTGAAGATTTATAATCTGCCGAAAAGCTGGATTTTCAGTTTCTAAGTAAAAGATTTGGTTAGTAGGCTATGTTGTTTTATTGTTGTTTGTAACAAATATATTTCTTTGTTCCAAAGTGTAAAAGTTATTCATATGTGTTATATTTGCTCATATAACACATTATTCAAGAAGCCCATGATTTAACAGAAAGTGGGTTTTTTTGGTTTATTTTTCTCAGCATATTTTTCTCCTCTTTCTATAGGCATGTTCATATTTCACATCTAATGCTTTGCCATTGAAGATTACTTTCATCAATGCTAACCCAATGGGCAAAAACATCAGCGTCATTTTTAAGGTATAGTAAAACATCAATTTGATTTCACAGGTGGAATTATTGATTTATTTCTCACAAAAGAAATGATTATAGCTATTTTCCTTTGGCAACAACACAGAGGATTCCAGTTATTTTTGATTCTGCATTTTTATAGAATTATAGTACATGTGAAACTCTGATTGATAATAAATCAATCGCTATTGGCTCAAGCCAGTGAACCTTCAGTGCAAAATTTAAGAAGACATGTTTCAATAAATGAAGTTATACAATCACTTTTGAGTAGCACAAAAAGTGGAATGTTTGGTTAGCCCTTAAAGGGAGAGTTTTCTTTTCATTTAGATACTAACTTAGAATCAATATTAGCTGAAACTCGGGGCGCCTGAGTGGCTTAGTCGGTTAAGCGTCCGACTTTCGCTTAGGTCATGATCTCGTGGTTCGTGGGTTCGAGCCCCGCGTCGGGCTCTGTGCTGACTGCCAGCTCAGAGCCTGGAGCCTGTTTCAGAGTCTGTGTCTCCCTCTCTCTCTGACCCTCCCCTGCTCACGCTGTCTCTCTCTCTCTCTCTCCTAGAAATAAATAAAACATTAAAAAAAATTAAAAAAAAATATTAGCTGAAACTCAAATGATATGTTAATTTAACATAAAATTATTATCTGCAAGCACTTGCTTATTTTAGTAATTTGAGTTATTTTCTTCTTTTTAAATAAATATGGCCCAAATCAGACTTTATCGTGAATCCCATGAGAAAAGAGTAAAAAAGGTAGTAACAGGGTTATAGGTTACTATAGGTATAGTAGGTAGGAAAGAGGGACTGAAGAAGAAACTGTAGTTGAACAGTAAGATTTTATAGTCACTCACTTAATTTAATCAACTATTGAGCCAAATCAGACAACCAGCTCTCAGAGTGAATTATTTGGTGGATTTTGACTATTTTTGAGGGTAATTTTTAGCACACCCTACTTTGGCTTTGACCTGTGTAACCTCAAGCATTAATGATCACATAACACTGCATTTTTGGTGAAGAATAAAAATAACACAAAATGTCATCTTGGAATATTTTTCTGCATATTATTTAGAAAGCATTTTCAAAACCCAACCTCTTAGGTTAAAAGCATAAAACTATCCTCCTTCCCCTTCGGACATATTCCATTTCCTTCACTTATGCTAGAAAATCACCCCTTAATCCTTTCTTCTTATTTCAAAGGCTGTTACTCTGAAAACCTTTTAATCACCCTCATAATATGAGAAGTCAATGATTTAAAGTCTGATGAATGCTGTGTGTGCTATTTATACTCCTAGTCAAGAAGCTCTTGGTATTTTAACTGTATATCAGTATATACATTTATGGCATACCAAATAAGAAAGGAATCTCTTGTGGTTGAGTTTGAAATTTGGATAAACATTGAGTCTCTCTACTCTAGATTTTGAGTCTAAGACATTACATGTGGATGATAAATTGAAAGACTATTATCAGGAACAGCATTCCAAGCAACTTCTAACTTGATGGCTGAAGCTTCTGTAATCATTTAAAGGAAAGTTCTTATTTTCTCTGATCTTCTCTCAGAAACACAAGATGATCTTAATACTAATAAAACAGTTGAAACCATCCTAAGTCTGGCTGGAAATTTATTTGAGGAAAGCAATGGCATATAACTAATTTGAAGGCATTTAATGGAATTCAAGAAGAAATCCACAGTCTATAATTTTGTTTTTAACAGGCTGGAGATGATCTTCGTCAGGATATGCTTGTTCTGCAGATTATTCAAGTGATGGACAATATTTGGCTGCAGGAGGGCTTGGATATGCAAATGATCATTTATAGATGTCTATCCACAGGAAAAGGTCAAGGTCAGTATAGATTATAAAGTGATTTGACTTACATTATTTATCTCAAACATGCTGGTAGCATGACAGCAAACTTTTCACAGCCTTCATTTTACACTATAAATTTTAAAATCAAAAGAACTATATACAAAGTCATTCTTCTTTCTTAAAAAGAATTATCTTCAAAATAATTTATATGGAACTTAATGCCTTTGATGATAGTAATTAGGATTTTGACAATCCGAATGTTAACTGTGGTATCCTGTCTTGTATCTTTTATGTGTGTGTTTTCTCTTATTTAAGATGATAATAGAAAAACTTACTTGTTCAAAAAAAATTCAGTTGTTGTCTATTAACACAAATTTCACAAAGTTACAAATGTTTAAAGGAGTTCTGAACATTCTAAATACATTATAAACCTACACTTAATTTCTGAAAGATGTTCTAGTAAATCATAATATCAATAGTCAAAGATGACCAAAAATGCGAACTTTGAACATCCTTCAAATATAAAAATATATTATTATAGAAATGTAACATGGAATACAGAAATATAATTACAATTATACACATTTTCAATGAAAATAATGTCAATAGTTTCCCCATATTTTTAGCAAAACATCACAGGTGAAAGTTGTACTTTATCACAATCATGCTAAATTGAAGAAATAATTCCTAAGATACTTTATACTCTTTAAAATGTGGTCATCATGACATAGAATTTCATTAAATTAATTGGTAGAAATTATAGCAGATACATGTACATAAAGAAAGGGATAAAAAAGATCGTAGAACCAGAGAAAGAACCTAGAACCATTTAGTTTGTTTCTTTTGGTCTTTTGTGGGGTTTCTGTTTTGTTTTGTTTTCTATATTTATTCAGGAAGAGCTACAATTTAAACCTAACAGAAAACTATCACCTTCTGACCCCCCCAGTTCCTAAGGTCCCACCACTAGGCTCAGTACCCCAGTCAACTATGACTTGAGATTTTAAAAACTAAGTATGGAAGGCCCTTTGCTTTAGCTTAACTTGCAACCTGATACTTCAGAATGACTCTGTTACAAGTCATACTACCCAGTTATTTTGATTCTGATAATAGCTTGCTTCCGGGACAAATGTCTACCCTGAACCCTTTCTAAAGCTCTATTTCCAAAGAGTCTTTATCATCGCTGCTCTGAGATTGCTATTCCTTGAGTTTTACTCTCCCTTTTCTTACATGGGTAACTGAGTTCTTTCAAATTCCAATGTATTGAAAGAGTAAGAATAAAGCTAGATGAGCCAAGCTGAACTGTTGGTGTCCTAAGGATCACCTTTTCTTCAGAAATTGAATACATCACTGACTTCAGTGGAATTCTTGTTTTTTAAGTTTTTTTTAAAGTTTATTTATTTATTTTGAAAGGGAGAGAGAGTACAAGTGTGTGTGCAAGGAAGGGGCAGAGAGAGAAGGAGAGAGAGAGAATCCCAAACGGTCTCTGGGGAGTCAGCAGGAAGCCCAAGAGTGGTACTTAAACTGTGAGATCAAGACCTGGACAGAAATCAAGAGTTGGGTGCATAATCAACTGAGACACCCAGGTGTTCCCTCAGTGGAATTCTTTAATTCCATCTACTCATTTATCAGTTTATAATTATAGAATATAACAGAAGCTAAATCTTTTAAAGTTAATAAAATGACTCAGCAAAAAATGAATGTAGACTTGCTCCAAGTTGCAGATGTCATAAAACAAACAAGCTATTATTCGTTCCTATCTACCAACAACGTTCTATAGTTGTAATATTTGAGAGTGCATTATGCTGGCAAAATACTTCTTCAAGAAAAATAGAGATCTTTAAAGCAAATGTCATTTTTAGGAGCTCAGGATCCATTTTTATTATGCTTCCAATGATTATTGAATATCTATTATTTTGAAGAAATATCACAAAGTAAGGTAAAGTATATTAAAATGAGCTAAACAGAGTTGTTGCCCTTAAGGAGAGTGTATTCCAAGCCAGAAGTTTGCATGACTTTATCAACATGATTGTTGATTATAATTCTCATGACTATTTGTACATGATGTCCTATGAGATTTGGGAGAGCCTATCAAGGAAAATAAAAATCCTTTTGGATTTATTTTATGGTTGGCTTTCCAAATTTGATGGGCATAAAAGTTACTTAGGGGAAATGGAGGAGTAGATATAACTAGGCCCAACCACATACTAAGTCACATTCTCTACATAGGCATTGAAGAGAGGAGAGGCTTCTCAATTCTCCGTGATGTAAAAAGCTGCTCTGTTGTTTCTTATGCACCCCCTTTTAGGAGCCACTGCCTTAAATGATACCACCTTGAAAAGTTTTGTCCCCAAGAAACTTACTGTGTAAAATGTGACCCATAGATCAGCTGCATTAACATCACCTGGGAGTTTGTTAGAAATGCAGAATCTAGGTCTCACCCCACCCTAAAGAGTTAGAACCTACATTTTAACAAGACGACCAAATGATATATATATGCACTATAATTGGAGAAACTCTGCATTCAAGGACTATAAGAATAGAGCTACACATATTACTCAATGTGCACAGATTTGATAGTAGTATTTAAAAAGTGTATGATACATACTAGCTTAAAATGTATAAAATGTAATTTATGGTTTTAATTAATAGACAAAATTTAGCTACCATAATTGTTATAAATTAGGCGCAAGGTTTCCAGGATAGTCAGCAATGTAAGTCTTATGATAAATGGCTTGGGATTTAGCAAAGATTAATTCCCTAAAGACAAATGTGGTCTGAAAAGGAACTGACATTGCTATAGTACAATACTAAATGGTGTAATAATCTGTCTTTATTTTGGGCATGGTCAAATGTGAGGCAATGAAGCACTAAGGAATCAGATAGAAGGTGATCTCCCTTTAGTTATATTAAGTGGAGGAACTGGAAATTTGAGGAAGGAAATGTTCAGGATTAGAAAGAGGAATCACTTCTTTCTAAAATAATTACATTAATACCAAGTATATAATGCCTTACATTTGCTATCTCACTTAATACACTTGAGAAAACCTGCATGAGAGCCAAATACTATTGGGGAGGAGGAAGAAGTGCTATAATATTAAGGATACGCCCAAGATTTACTTCTGGAGTGCTCTGTTACTTCCTCCCTTCCTCTCTCCCTTCTTTCCTTCCTCTCCCTATCTCTATCTTTCTTCCCTTCCATCCTTCCTTCCTTCTTTCTATTCTTTCTGTTTTTCCATTTCTTTCTTTCTTTCTTTCTTTCTTTAAATATGTTTTATAGGTTATTTCTACAGAATTCAATATTCCATTCCCACTCCCCATGTTTAAGTTTTTAAGTTTCTTTCTGATCCAGCAATTAGATGTCTAAAAGTCATAGTTGGACTATTAAATATTAAAAGATTAAGGCTGCAACCAGCTACTACTGGCCAACTCCAGCACAGAGAAGTCTTTCATTTACCAACACTGTAATTTGCTTGATTGCTGTTTAATCTGAATATTTCAAGATAGATCATAAAATAGTTTCACAAATTCAACCATCTCTCTTTTCACATAGTTACATTTATGTCTTTGATCTCTTTGGAAGTTTGAGTTGTCAACTCTTACAATTTTCAAGATTGTGGAAATCAAAAATTCTAGACTTTAATTTCTTTCAATGATTTTATTTAGAGAACTGTATTATTACAAGCTGTTTTGTGGACATCAGTCCTGGGACAGTTTTATTAAATACTGGGTCTAAATTGCTATTCTGTACAGAATAAAAATCAGAAGATTTAAAAATATTTACATTTTAATAGCCTTAGGAACACAATGAAAGAAGCCTTGATGGATACATGGCCAGTGGGGCAAAGGTCCTACTGAAGATAAACCAATATATGCTCCTCTTTAAAAAAATTATTACCATAGTTTCTCTTTAATGTTGGCTGAGAAGGAAGGAGGAGGTGACTCTCCATATGTTTACCACAATTGTTCTGTTCACTCCTAGAAATGGGACATTTAACTGTGAAGCTTTTATTACCCTGAACATTAATTTCTATAATATATTTGAAATATTTGTTATGGAGATTGTGTTTGGTTCTCTTCCATAATAAATATACTTGTTATACAAGTTTTGAATGTCCTCCTTTCACCTGTAAATGAATGCACAATCATACATTAATTAACCCACTACTTTATTGACTCAATGAGAGGTCTGTGAGACAATCTAGATTGGCTCTCTACTGTAGTTCTAGAAAAAAATAATAAAGCTTCTTCTGATAGATCTGATCCAAACACAATAAATGCTCCCCAGGACTTCAGAAAAATTAGAAGGAAGGCCATCTAGATAAGTCTTCTTCAGAAAAGAAGGTTTGCAAAGAAAAGGGTAACTGAAGTAGTGCTGACAGCTATTGTTGCTACATAGGTCAAGATGTGTTTCCTAAGTATTCCGCACCTTGTGAAGAAGGAATTATTTCTATAATCTCTTTTTTATCAACCAGGATTGGTGCAAATGGTGCCTGATGCCATAACCCTAGCAAAGATCCATCGCCATTCTGGACTGATAGGACCATTGAAAGAAAACACTATCAAAAAGTGGTTCACTCAGCACAACCATTTAAAGGAAGATTATGAAAAGGTTTGTCTTACTGTAGCTTATTTTAAATAATGTACTTAAATAAGAATATGCTCTGGATCATTAACTATTGTGCTCCATGAAAAAGTAAATTAAGTACACCTTGAGTTCTAATCCACTCAGTCATCAGCTTAGTAATAATGCCCCAGTTTAAATGGTATATTAACTAGATAAAACTTCTGTATTTGGTTTTGTTTCTTACAGTTATCTCTCTTGGGATGATGCTACTTAAAACTACTTCTTGCAAGTTATCCCTGCCTATTTGTATACAATCTCCAATGTCTATAAATCCCTCTCCTTCCTTTGCAATGCATTTCTTCTACTGAGCTCTACTTTTTCATGCCTTATTTTTCCAATGTTTGCAAAATGCATAAATATCTCAGAACTTTACAAAATTTACTGTTTTCTTTTCTTTGACTGCAAACATTTTTTCCCACTCCCTTCATGCTGGCATCTGGCCTATGGTATACAGTTGTGCAGGGTCTGCTGTATACCAGGGCTCCCAGCTAAGGGAATGAGTTGTTTAAAGCCAAGCTTTGTTCCACTTGCAAAGGCATGAACTGGTACTGCTATGTTCACTTGGAGGGAGGGACATCTTTATGCTAACTCACATAAAGATACAACATGGGCTAGCACTGAATTTTCTCAGAACTCTCCTGAGCACAAAATTTTTACACTCTAGAAAACTCCTCAGCTCTGAGCAAACTGGAATGATTGGTCACCCTAGTTAAAAGAGGCCATGATAGAGAGACCCCAGAGTTCATCTTTTCCAGATTTCTATGAGATTGAAGTGGAGCAAGATATGGGTTTTTGGAGGTCAAATAACAAAGATGAGATGGCATTACCTTGACATCCATTTTTTAATCATTCACAAAATTAGAACTTGAGTTTTGCACAAATCCCTGGAGTTATGTCATTTGAGGTGTTTACACATATATTTGCTCATCACAACTACTACATAAGGGCATCTTTTACTGTCTTCATTTTATAAGTGAAACATATCTAATGAGACAAATGAAGTGACTTGTTCAGGCACTTGGGATATCTGGAACTGAGATATGTAACCCAGTGACATAGATTTCCACTCCAGCATGTCAGCCACACCATTCCAGGAGACCCATTACTATGGCCCAACCAATCACTCACGGCTCCACCATGGTTACAGTCATGGTTTCATCATTGAAAAAATAATGTTGTACTAAGAAGACCATTTTGAAAATAAAGAGTAATTTTGGCAAGAAACCTCTGTTTATTAAAGAAACAGAAGCCACAATTGACCTAGTGATAATCTGCTTACACCCAACATTCACTGATATATACTGTAACAAAACACTTTTGGACATCAGCTGGATGACATATTTGTCAGGATAAACAAAAAATATTACATATATCTCAGCACAGCTTTTTCTGTGTTACAATTCAAATATTCAAAAATGATATTTTAAATTTCTCTGGGGATAGGAAATATTGGACCATATTGTTCCTTCTTTTTTTACCTTGAAAAAAAAACCATTCAATATTGTATATTTGAGACATCAAAAAAACACACCAGGAATTGTCTTCAATAAACTATGAAAATTAGATCCAACTGAATGAAAGAGATATTTTGCTCAATTTAAATGAAAACATTCACTAGGCCACAGAAGAAATTTCTTCATTTTCTTCTATAGCATATCAAGAACCAGTCATTTAATCATAATCTTCTCTCAACTGAGATGTAGAAGTGAGCCTCGATTATGTAATTTTGCTTTTTATACTACTTTTTACCATTATCTCTGATGCCCATACATTTGCTTATTTTTTCTGTGTGTTATCTTTGTGTTATTGCTTTTCAACCAATTAGGCCTTGAGGAACTTTTTCTATTCCTGTGCTGGCTGGTGTGTGGTAACGTTCATCCTGGGAGTCTGTGACCGACATAACGACAATATCATGCTGACAAAGTCAGGCCACATGTTTCATATTGACTTTGGAAAATTCCTAGGTCATGCACAAACATTTGGAGGGATAAAAAGGTCAGTGTGTAACTAATGTTTATTACAGTAATTAAGCAATGTCCTAGAGTGATGTATAACATGTAATGGCATAGAAACCCAGCAGATGACTTACTTCCCCATCTCTCAAATCCCCCCAGATAACACAAACATGTTTATGTATCTAATATGATTGAAGGAAATATATTTTTCAATATATTTTTAACAGAACAAATTAGGTTTCCTCAAATTGTTAGTGGACTTCTCCCATGAGAAACTAATCCTGTTCTAGTCTGAATTGTCTGAAATATAATATTCTTGTGTCCTTCTAAACCTTGAATGGACAATGAGGCATGAATTCATCTTCTCAATACATCTGGTATATTTCCCATAGCAATCACCATCCCTGGTCTACATATCACAAAACTAGACATTACCTTAAATCATTCCAAAGATACCTAGTTGAGCAACTACCATTCAAGGCTCTGAGGATATAACAGCAAACAAGGAAGACACAAGCCTGATCTCTTTCTAGGAGGAATGATGCACATTAAACAAGTTAGCATGTAAAGAAATAATATGAGGAAATGAAGAGTTTAATTTCTTAATAAGAAACTGAAGCAAAGAAATTATATAGAGGGTAACTGGAGCAGAGATGCTATTTTAAAGAGCCCTCTAGAAACGGATGAGAGACAACTGGGTAATTAATGATCCACCTTGTGGAAATCTATGAGAATAGTATTCTAAGAGAAAAGAGCAAAAGTACCGTCATGAGCATGAAAATAAGCCTAGTATACTGGAACATAAGAAGGCCTGGGACGTGGAAGTGGATGGAGAGGGAGCAGGCAGTAAGAGATACAGGTGAAGAGCTTGTGGAGGCCAGATCAAGTAGGGCACTGAGAACATGGAATAAAGTTTGGTTTTTATTTTGGGTTCAGGAGCAAGCCACTGATGGATTTCAGTGGATTTCAAAACTCATTCCTGCTCTCCTGTGAAGTAATTAGACCAGTTAAGAGTCTAGTACAATGATACTGGCAAGACATTAATGGAAAAGAAGTGGTAAAAACTGACAGATTCAGAATATATTTTGGAGTCAGAGCCATAGGACCTGCTAATTGATTGGAATTTGACAGTGATTAATGGGCCAGGGGAAGGACTTAACAAGAAGCAAAAGAAAACATTCAAGAATGATGCCTGGATATTTGATCTTAACAAACAATTATATCATTTACTGAAACCAAAAGACTGGTGGATGAATAAGTTTTTGTTTTATTTTATATGAGCTGGGACAAGGAAGCCCAAAGTTTAAGGCTTAAAGTCCGTTGCTTTAAAAAGATGCTTCACCTTAAAGTAGAAATGGGATCAAACCATTCCAAAGAGTAATCAGTCACTTTTATCTAAAAGCAACTACTCAATAAAAGATAACAATGTCTCTTATAATATAACATGATGAACTCTTACTAGATGGACATTATCTAGTATTAGAATGTCAATAAAAACTACATTAATATTATATTTCCTATTTTATAGAAGCATACAAATGGAATCACTCACATATTGTTATTTTGAATGCATTGCCTTCTATTACGACTCCCTCAAGAAAATTTACTACATCTGCATTCATTCCTTAAAAATCTACTGAGGATGATCTGTGTGCCAAGGACGATGATAAACTTTGGTGAAAGAAAAGTGGATAGTACACATTTACCACCTTGATGGGGTTTGCTCTTTCTTAGAATATTGGAAGACAAAAATATGAATAATCATTATAATATGTGGTAAGGGTGGAAATAGAGAGATGTTTGGACTATCAGAAAAACATAGAGGCAAGATACCTAGTTTATGAAAGACAAATGCTATTTAATGTACATAAGCATCTCCATAATATACCCATATAACAGTTTTCCCCTAGAAGCCACTCTTTCCTAGAAATCTAAAGATTAGATTTCAATTTTGACATCTTTATTTATTTATTTTGCTGTATTATCCACTAGATATTTGGGTTAACCCTTATTCATTTATTTAACTGGCATTAGTGTTGACCATGGGGGTGGTTAAAAAAGGAACAAACATATTTCAGTTCCACAGAAAAAGTTGAAGGAGACATGAAAAATAAGAACAAGTTACTAAATAATCTGGTAAGTCCTGTAATGGAGTATGTACCAGGGACTATAAAAAAGGTGGAGTTCAATTTGTTTGTTTATTAATATCACAAGAGCTAGTGCTGTTTCTGAATTTGGCAATTTTTTGACATATGATATTATATTAGTTTCAGGTGTACAACATGGTGATTCAGCAATTCTATATATTACAAAATGCTCTCCACAAGTGCGGTCACCATCTGTCACCACAGTTATTACAATATTATTAACTATATTCCCTATGCTGTACGTTTCATCCCTGTGCCTTATTTATTTTATAACTGGAAGTTTGTAACCACTAATCCCCTTCTTCTATTTTGTCTACCCCCTACTTTCCTCCCTTCTGGCAACTACCAGTTCTGGGTATTTATGAGTGTGTTTCTGGGTTTTTTAATTCATTTATTTGTTTTGCTTATTTTTCAGATTCCAAATATAAGTGAAATCATATGGTATTTGTTTTTCTCTGTCTGATTTATTTCACTAAACATAATACCCTCTAGATCCATTCATTTTGTCATGAATGACAAGATTTCATTCTTTTTTATGGCTGAGTAATATTTCATTGTGTGTATATGCCACATCTTTATCAGTTCATCTATTAATGGACATAAACATAGGGATACATATATATTTTCAAACTAATGTTTTCATTTTCTTTGTGTAAGTATCCAGATGCGGAATTACTGGATTTCATGGTATTTCTGTTTTTAATTTTTTGAGGAACCTCCATATTGCTTTCCATAGTGCCTGTACCAATTTACCTTCCTCCCAAAAGTGCCTGAGAGTTTTGTTTTCTCCACCTCTTCACCAACATTTGTTACTTCTTGTGTGTGGTTTTTTTTTTAATATTTTTATTTATTTCTAGGAGAGAGAGAGAGAGAGACAGCATGAGCAGGGGAGGGTCAGAGAGAGAGGGAGACACAGACTCTGAAACAGGCTCCAAGCTCTGAGCTGGCAGTCAGCACAGAGCCCGATGCGGGGCTTGAACCCACGAACCGCGAGATCATGACCTAAGCGAAAGCCAGACGCTTAACTGACTAAGCCACCCAGGGGCCCCTACTTCTTGTGTTTTTGATACTAGTCATTCTGACAGCTGTAAGATGGTATCTCATTGTGTTTTTGAATTGAATTTCCCTGGTGATCATGATGTTCAGCATCTTTACATGTATCCATCTGTTGGGTGTCTATATGGCTTCTTTGGGAAAATGTCTATTCAGGTCCTCTCTCTGGCAGTTTTAACTCTTTTTTTATATAACATCTGAGGTACATGAAAATGTGCCCAACATAGCACATAGCCTCACTCATAGTAGGTTCTCAATATTGTTTATCAGTTAATAAACCATTCATTAGGAAGCCCTCAATCATTCAATAATCATTGATTGGATGAATGAAAATGAAGCTGGCACTGTCTTCCCTTGAGAATACTGATTATTGTTCACCAGCTAAGGAGGCCAACTGTAGCATTAAGATCCATTTGGATTATTATTTGCAAGATTTTATCTCCACCAGTGGCTATGTAAGGCTCATTAGCATTATCTCCTAGGATTTCTATCTGGAAACTGATAGTTCTGCTCTGAGTTTAAGAGTTAAGCTGAACTATTCCTACTCATTATTATTCACTATATCTTTTGATATATATCATCATAGGACCATTGGCTGTTCTCATTGGTTGATAGGTTGACAAGAGGCCTTTTATAAATCGAAACTCTGTATCCCCCTAGGAAACATGAACATTCTTATTTATATTACATTTGTTATATTATAGACCTGATCTTTAGGGAAGAGCCTAGCTTCACCTAGCTTCTTCTAAACACATACCAGATATATTAATAACCCACCCATAATTACAAAACTAGGTATGTAAATAATGTACGAGGACTATCCCAGTCTCTCACAGTCTAAGCAAAGCCATAATGCTCTGTAATAAGGCAGGATCTGGTTTTTATTTTGAAGTATTGCTTAATTATTATCTTATTTCCTTTATTTTCTTTTATCTCACAAAAATTCAAATTAAAGTGGTCAACAAATTATGCATCCATAATTTTTCACTCAAAGTTCCCCTGTAACAATGATTTCTATACAGTAATTTTTTCATTACATAAAAGATATTATTGTAATAAACTCTAAATTTCAACTCAATAATTTCTTGATGGTGACTTTCTTTTACAGAGGAGGAGTAATTAAATACTGCACCCATTGGACTAGAAAGTACATGTATCCCAGACACATGTGTTTCTACTATTGCATACTCCTTATAAACATAGAAGATGAAATATTTGTATAACTTTTTAGGTTTACAAAAGATTACTAACACAGAGACTAATTTCATTTCATAATACATTTGCCTAAACCATTGCTCAATCGCACATTATAAGTACAGTTTCCAGTTGTAGATAGTTTATGGGTTGGCAAAAAGAAATCATATACACACATAAACCCCCCTCTCTAAATTATAGATATATCCTTTAGTCAAGGATATGGAATTTAATAATGGAAATTAGCAGGCCAACAGAGCAGAACCAGAGATAGTATATCTTTCCTTTGATCTTTGGTTTCCTTAAAAGAAAAATCAATGAGGTGATGTTTTCTTTACAAGCAGGATCTTGGGAAAGAAACTGATTTCTTGCCGGGCCATTGCCCTTTTATATTCATGCTTACATCACCATCCTAAACATCTCACACTAACCATCTATGTGATTCTGTTTAGAAAATGTCCATAGACATTGGCTCTCTTGATTCTTGGATTATAATGAGTCAGCTCAGCAACATTCTCATCCTTGTCCAGATGCCTCTGAACCACTCCTCTGAATTCAGTTTCCCAGAAATATGGAAAGCCCATGCTTTGACTGAATTGCAGGCTCCTGTAGATTTTCTAACTTTGAAGAAAGAAAAAAGAACTCA